ATTCAGTGTGATTCCATTTCTCATAACCCCAATGAAATAACCAGACATGCATTTAAAGATGTGTGAGAAGGCAGAGACTCTTTCTAGAGTTTGAGGATTTCTGGGGCTCCGTCCTTCAAGGCCCAGGTCAGGCATCCCTTTCTTAAGAACGCCCACAGCCTGGGTTATATGCTCCCGTAATATCTCCCTCTCATGGAAGTAATCTTGTCTACATATTTGGTATTTGTTTACTTATCTTTCCACCCAGTAGATTATGAGGTTCCTGAAGACAGAAACCATGTTTTGTTCATTTCTGAATCCCCAGTGTCTGTCAGTGCCTGGCTTTGTAAAGGTTTGTAGAGTTGAAAAAGTAATAAGCCTTTTGTCTCCTTCCTTAAGCCAAAGAGACTAAAACTGTGGGGCCACTGAGTCAGGTTAAATATATTGACTAATCCCTTTTAACCACCAAGATACTGTGCTTTTAGAATATGCTGGGGGTGGGGGGAGTTGCTAAATTAGGAAGTGAATGAGAGGTTCTAAAGCAAGAAAATTGGGTTGGATGAGAGTGGAAAAGGAGAGGAAAAAATTTCTCCTAAGCAGAATCTTTCATTTAAAAGGGTGAGGTAAAGTGTGGCCAGGATAAAATGAAATTTAGGCCAGGTGTGTACAATGATATAAGCACAAAATTTTAGGAAAAAAACAGGAATATTAATTCTTATTTTTAACAAAGAAAAATCAGTAATTGAAATCCAGAAGTAGTGATGACCAAAATTTGGGGTGCAAGAAAAAACTAGAAGCTCTCCCCAGCTTTTTTTTTTCCTGAAAATGAAAACTCTGACTTCATAAAAATAAATGAATAATGAAAATGAGGCTTGTTTCTTTTTCGGATTAGTGACTCAAAGGAGATAGAAACCATTGATGATCAATGTGAAAAAGGCAATTTCACTGGCTTTTTATTTTTCGAAAAAATAAGAGAAATGTCAAACATTAGGCTCTTCTCGGTTATATGAAAGAAATAGAGAACATTAAAAATTCAATAAATAGAATAAATAAAATTTAAAAAAAGATGTTTGAGAAGGGAAAGTACAGTAGCAGCCTAAATGATCCTTGGTAAGAGAATTGTTAAATTACTGTGCATCCATACAGTGTGATATTAGGCAGCTTTTAAAATTCATATGTTGCAAAGACATTTCAAGAAATGGACAATATTCTTGAATATGTGTAAGTACATTTGACTTTTTATGGTTGGATTACTGCATTCTGTTGATTCTTATTTTGTGGTAGGCTTTGTTCCTTTGATAACTGTGTAAGTTTAAAAAGTAAATTAAAAATATGTGCAGCATATTGTACATATGTTTTTACATGCAATATAGTGTATATGTGCAGTGAAATTATAATAATTCTACCTAATAAAATTGAAAAATGGAAAAAATACACAAGGTTAGTGTCAAATGGAAAAAGCAGAAACCATGAGTTTCTATACGGTGTAGCTAAAAAGGTATGTCCTTCTATTTACATTAAGAATGAATAAAAAACGTTGCATGAAAATAGAATAAAATAGAACAAAGAAACATCCTTATCTATAGGGGACAAGGTAATTTCAAAATTTTTTCTAATGCATTTCTGTTTACAAAACTTGCTGATTTGATTATATCCTGTTGTGCTCATATAATACCTTATTCTCTGGAAAAGCATTTTACTCTCCGAACACGTGCAGCAGTCTTTTATTAACACACCAAGATGAAATTTGAAGACATGATTAGATTAAGACCAACACTAGGGCACGATTAATTGATAAACGGAACTGACTGTAGTGAAGTGAAATGGTCCTGGCAAAAAGCATCCTCTGTTCACTCTGTCACATCCTCTCATTTCTAAGCACATTCATGTCCCAGGCACCCTTGGACATGGTTTCTATTTTAGGGTCTTTTAATACGTTACCTTAGGAGAGAGCAGGACAAGAGCATATTTGAGAGATGCCTCAGTTATCTAATGTTGTTGGGAAGAAATTATTCTGTATAAACGAGCTTTGCAGATGACTTAAATTAACTGGTCCAAGTGGCAGAGTTTGGAGTGCAAAGTTCTAAAATTGAGAACAGATCCCCTGACTTAGTAATTGTAACAGACCTGTCATTGTAAGTGAAATTTCTTCATGCATATGGATTGGAAAATTAATTCAAATCAAAGGTCTTTCTCCTGGATTTCTGTGGCGTGTTTTATCCCTCACTGGCCATGAGGTGCCCTGTGAAGAAAGAACATCACAGGGTGCAAAGGCGGTTGGAGAGGGAGAAGGGAAGCAGCTCATGTCCCCACTCTGCTTCCCGCTTTTGGAACAGCCCTCTGTTCTGATTTTCAAGGGACTCTTGTCTGTGTCCATATTTTGCCCCGCAGCCTCAGCACGCGCTTTTGCCCCTCAGTCCTTCCTCTGGGTCACATGCCTGTTTCTCCTCCCGCTCGTCTCTGCCTGTGGGTGAGATGCCATCGGACAGAAGGTGCTCACTGCTGAGCAAGGTGTGACTTTAAAGGGATATCCTTGGCTTTCCCCTTTCCCCTTTCTCGGTGCTTTTCCTGCGATAGCATTATTGTAGGTGCTGTTGGACTACTGCATGATATTCTGATATCTTGGCAAGTTTTTCAGGCCAAACTCAGCATCTGATCGCCATTTACAACTTTTGATTTGGGAACTATGTACCAGGGGCCAGGACACGGTGTTTGACAGGGGCCTTGCCTGGATTTTATTGAGCTGTCACCCAGTGCTGTCTTCAGGGCTGAGTCACACGTGGGAGCTCTTTTCACCCTTTTCGTAAATGTCGACTTTCATTACTGTTGCTGCTTGTGCGTTTTGTCTAGCCAGTCTCCACTCCACCTCTGACTTGGCAACCTTTGTCACTAGTCGTCTGGGAAAGATCGTAGGACCTGGTTTGTTGGAACCATTTCACAGTTCAGCAAATAATTAACAGTGAGTAGACGTTTTCTAAGGTGTTTCTGGCGCGTGAAAGAGGCATAGCTTAGTCCAAAGATTTTGCCTTTGCTACTGTTTCCTGAGAGGCTTTGAAAACGGTCCTTGGTTCTGGATCATTATGGC